AAAAAGGAGTTTAATCACCATTTGAATCAATCTATAGCTAATTGCATAATGAATTGATTTTACTTAAAGAACACATTGATAAGAATTTGGCCAAAAACTTCATATGCCATTCAAACACTCCAATAGGAGCTTCTATCTTATTTATAAAGGAAAAAGATGGATTTTAATAGATATATATAGACTATTGAGGACTCAATAAGATTACCATCAAAAATAGATATTCTTTACTTTTAATTTCAAGATTTTTTAATCAATTCAATTAAATAAAGATCTATATGAAAATAGATTTATAAGGAATATATAATATGGTTCACATCAAAGAATGAAATAAATGGAAGAGTACTTTTCAAAATAGGTATGGATATTTCAAATATAATTTCATATTAGTTAAACTCACAAATACTTAAGGTCCTTTTTAATATTTAATGATTGATATCTTCCATGAATTTTTTGATGACTTTTTTGTATATTATCTATATGATATCTTAATCTATTCTAAGTACATTCAAAAACATTAATTTCATATTTATCATGTGTTATAAAAACTAAAGAGATATATGATTATATATTAAGTTAAAAAAGTATGTATTTCATACTACTCAAGTTGATTTCTAAGGATACATCATTTCAAATGTTGATCTTAAGATGGATCTTAAAAAAATCTAGACTATCATAAATAGGAAGATTTTCAAAAACAATTAAAGATGTGAAATATTTTTTGAAAGTTGGTAATTATTACTAAATCTTCATCAAAAACTTTTATCAAGTTGCAGCTCTTCTTATACACTTGACATATAAAACCAAACTTGAATGGAACAAAGAAGTTTAAGCATCTTTTGAAGCCTTAAAAATAAAACTTATTTTTGCACAAATCTTGTATCGTGTCATCTTTTTTAAGGCATTCTTCATGAAAATAAATACATTGGATTTTGCTATAGATGTTGTTTTATCATAAATGAGAGTAGATGATAAGCTCTATTACATAATTTTTTGTTTTAGGATATTTTCAAAAACTAAGATTAATTATGAGATCTACAATAAAAAGCTTTTTATAATTGTGAATTCATTTTAAGAATAGCATCATTATTTAGAAGGCACTTCTAATTCAATCACTATATGTATGGACCACAAGAAGCTCAAGTACTTCATGTTAGCACATACTTTGAATCATTTCCAAGCTTCTTGGAGTATGTCCTTATCATGATTTGATTTGAAGATCACTTATTCATTTAAAAAATAAAAAGGTTTATCAAATATCATCTTTAAACGTACTTATCTTATATCAAAAGAAGGAGATGCATCTTTTAATCAATAAAAAATGATTATCTTGAGGCCAAAGTATTTTTATCTTCAAGCAATGAAATTAACATTGATTGTTGATTCAACATTTTTCAAGTAAATTCAATCAAGTGTGTTTTCTAATTCTTTCATTCACAATATTAAGAAAAAAATTTCTAAATCCTATAGTACTTCAAAGTTTGAATTCAATAAAAATCTATTCTATTTTAAGGAATAATTATATATTCTTAAAGATGAAACATGATTACATGTTCTTTAAGTTCATTACAATTTTTTAGCAACTAAACATTTTGGATACAACAAGACTTTGGAGCTAATATCTAAAGATTTTTAGTGGCTTCAAATGTGAAAAGCAATCAAAGACTTTGTACAATCATGTGATGTTTGTTCAAAATTAAAAATTCCTTATCATCGACTTTATGGACTTTTTTAGCCATTACCTATTTTGGAACAACCATAGTCCTTTATTTCTATAGATTTTATCACAGATCTTTTAATCATAAGTTTATATAATTCTATATTTGTAATAGTAGATCATTTTACCAAGATAATATACTTTGTATCATGTACAAAATCTATTTCAAGTAAAGAAATTACTAAGTTTTTTCTTAATAACATCTATCACTATCTTAGATTGCCTAAGGATATTAAATTAGATAAAAAGGCTTAATTTCTATCAGGATTTTGAAGAATCTTTTTTAAGATTTTAAAAGTGGATATAAAGCTCTCTTTTTCTTTTCATCTTCAAACTAATGAAAAGATAGAGTATGTAAACCAAGTTTTGGAGCAATATTTATAATGTACCATCAACTACTAATAAGATGATTGGACAACTCTTTTGTCATTGGTAGAATTTACTTATAATTATATAATATATTTTTTTATATAATAAATAATTTTTTTATTAATTATAATTATCATCTATAACTTGATATTTTTTACTTCTAAAAAATTAATAATCTTATAGTAAAAGATTTGACAAAAATTTTATGTGAATTCTATAAAACAATGAAGGTACAATTAAAAAAAACTCAACAAAAATAAAAGACCAATACAAATACCTATTGCAAGGAGTAGTCTTAATTTCACGTTGGCAATAAGATGTGGTTACTTTGTTGTGATATTAAGACTAGCTGACCTTATGACAATGTGGATTACCATAAGCTTGAACTATTTCTTATTTGTAAAAAAATCAATCATGTTGCCTATTGATTACATTTAATGGAGTTTATGAAGTTCCATTCAATATTCTACATGTCTCTTTTTGAGTCATATAAGACAATAAATATCTCGAGAAAAAGATAAATGCCACCTCTTCCTATAGAAGTAGATAATAATGAAAAATTCAAGGTAGAAGAAGTCTTAGACTCAAGACAGTGCCAAAGTAGGTTAAATTATTTTCTTCATTAACGTAAATATGATATTAGTGAATGCATATAGAAGCTAGCAAAGAATCTTATAAATATAGCAAAGAAGGTTGATACTTTTCATCAACAATATCCATCAAAACTAAGATAAAGTATAATAAATCTTTTCTATGAAAGAATTGTAGTTTGAAAAAGATTACATCATATCTTTTATCTTTGTTTGTAGTTTATGTATATTTGTGGCACTAAAGAGATAAAGAATTAACAACCATAAGATTTAACTTAAGAGCCATCATTTGCTAATCTATTGGATAAGACATTGTGATTATCACCGCCTTCAAAAGAATATTATCAAGATAAAGACCTTCAAGAACAACATTTTTTTTTTAAAATACATGGCAAAATAAAATGTATTTGGTATCACAACCTTGGAAGAGTCTCCTAATATTTAGTGATTTTATTGGAGGTAGAAACGACTCTTAATGATATTACAAATGATTTGTTTAAAAGACATTACGAAGGCTTTAATAATAATCAAATAACAAGGTGGTCTTTCCATTCTAAAATGGAACATTATTAGTGGTTGAGAAGACCTATCGACTATCTTCAAAGAAAACAATGATTAGAGTATATAGCAAATATACTTTGCCGCATCTTTGACTTCTTCAATATATGATCACTACTCTTTGTAGAACTTGTCTCTTAAAAGAGAGATAATATTACAAATATACTTATAATTACCTAAACAATATGAATAGATAGAAATAAGTAAAGATAGATTAATTTGATAATATCTTATAGATAAGCTTTCTAGAAGCTTTATAGATGCAATTTTATCTTTATACATGTCTATAGGTGATTAATAAATTAGAAATTTAGCCAATAAGTTAGCTACATGTCACATGTATTGGTAGCTTATAGTATAAACTACCAATGTGACATACTTGTAAAAAACTTGTTTTGTAAGTTAAGACATGTATCTCACAAATTGGATATGTATTGGAGGTCGTATAAAACATTGTCACATAGCTTTTAAGTAGATAGTATATATAAAGAGGCAAAAGTAAAGCCTTCTTCATTCTTATCGATTCCTTTCTTGCTTCTTATATTTTTTTTTATGCTTTAATATATATATACATATATATATATATATATATATATATATATATGCTTGAATATTATCTTTAATATCTTTAATATTATTTTAATTCTTTTTCTTTTTATAAAATTATTTTAATAATAAATGCTTGTTTAATTTTTTTATTATATTCCATCTCTTATTTACACCTCTTAATCTTCATTTTAGAAAACTAATAATTTATAATTAAATTTTAAGTTATATTCTTGATACCTATGATTAAAGGTCAATATTACATACTTAGAATTCATAAAACTATAAATAATTAAATTATTCTATCTGTATAATTTTTAAAATAAAAAAATCTTCATTTAATTTTATTTATTTATTTATTTATTTTTTACAAAATTTCACTTTCTTGAAGATATTCTATAAATTTTATATATTATATATTAACAACTTTATTAAAGTTGACAAAAGAATTTATTTTCATGATGGTGCTACAAGACCAAAATATATAAGCAGTTTTCAATCTTTAAAGAATATAAGCACAAGTTTTCAATCTTTAAAGAATAAAATATATAAGCACAAGTTCAAATCTGTTTTCAATCTTTAAAGAATAAAAAACATAATTTCATTGATTCTATTGATTTTTAATCTTTTACAAAATATAATCAATCTATATCTTTTAATGATTATTTATTTTATTTTATTTTAATTGTACAATAAATAATCAGTTATGTGTGTATATATATATATATATATATATATATAAATTATATATATATAATTTATTTCTAAGAGTTAAGTTATTAGATATAAGTTTTAAAGATCAATCAAAAAATATATTAATAGATGATAAACATCTATAAGTCATATTTTAGCTATGATTAATAATCTTTGTTCTTTAGATGTGAATTATCTTATACATAAAATATTATTTTAAAGATTCTAAATCAACATGAAAATATAAATTTAAAAATTCGTATTTATGAACTACCATCTTAGTAATAAAAATATATATATATTAAAAATAAAAAAGTGTTATTCTTAAATGTCCCCATTATTGAAATTATCTACATACCTTGTTTCTATTACATGGTTGTTTTTATTCTACAAATGATATTTCTTAGAAAACCTTTTGTAATACATGGATATATTTCTAATTACAATAATCACATTTAAAATCATAGAGTATATATATATACAAAGAACTTGTTTAGATTTTAAAATTTGGAATAAAATTTATAAAAATATAGTACACTCATAGAAATAAACATATTTCCTAACCATTTTGCAATCATGTGCATTACAATCAAAATTATATATGTATATATATATATATATATATTTTTTTGAAGTTTAAATTTTGGAATTTAAGAATTTTAATTGTTTCTTCTATTTTTCAGCTTCTCGAAAGTGTTATTATTTTCAATCTGCACCATACTTTAAGCAGACAAACTTGAACATTCTCCTTTAGTATAAACTTCGATTCGACTTCATTTTTCTGTTCCAAAATGAGTGTCCGATTTCTTTTCTGTGAGCTTATTCTTGCTTTCTGGAGAGCTATGTGAGCGTCATGAACGAGCTCCAAATCTCGATTTCCTTGGAGAAGAATTCGGCATTGCGTTGCAGACGATCTCTTGCCCAGATTCGAGGAACTTCGTAGTAATTCATTGCCACCTCTCTCTCACTCATCTTCATGGTTTCTCAATCATGCACTGGTGCCTGGTGTGATAAGAACACCTTACTGAGCAATTTCTTCAGGATGACTGACTGACTGTTGAATGCCTTGAACACCGCATCTATCAGTTCAGATGTTGATGGATCAATCGGAAGAAGAACCCCATGTCCAGAAAACATTTTTGTCAGGACTGTTTGGGATCCTGACACCATTCGATTGATGTTGAACTCGACAAATATGTTGAATCGTCTCTCCTGGGATATGCGGTCCTGCATTGTTTTGTTGGATGTAAAAGAGATGCCATTTTATCGCCGATCGCAGGCAAGACCTTTTCAGTCATCATCTTCATGTATTCCTCCTTGTTGATCGAGGTTTCCACGGTGTCGGCCACTCAATTCTTGCTGCTGCTGCTGGTGCTGCGTAGAATTGGAAGACGAACGGGAAGATCCCGAGTTTGCCATCAAACCATTAGTTTCGCGAAGAGCCCCATCGAGGACGCGCGACAGAAGCCAAAAACAACATCTTGAGGATGAATCATTTGGATTTACATGTCCGGTGGGATTCTTGCTCATCTTCCGCCAAGTAGTACCTACTGCTTTGATTCCGTGAGAAAAAAATACAAAATAAAAATAAATAACCACTTTTCATTGACGTGAATGTAGTCCATGTCCTTAAAATAAGGCTGATCAGCAACAATGTCCCCGTCTTGCATCGATAGGCAGTAACGCAATCGCTCCAGCTTGTTGTAATCTGTCAGATAAAATTAAATTTAGTATATTTTTACTTATCAGATTGGATTAGGCACGCTTTGATAGGACAATGGACATTCGATTTGGAATGCTCGATCCGAACCGCAAAGGATCAAATGCACTCGCGCAACCTCGATGTCCATGCTTCAATGACTTCTGGGTCCACTTCAATCGGTTCGCGTACAAACTTTCCAGCCTTGTGAGGAAAGACATCAGTTGCGATTTGGTTCAACAAAGATGTTCAAGCACGCTTCCAAATTCTGATTGTTCGCGTCGTTGTGGAGAATTTGGCAGCTGCGCGTTGACACAAAAATACATAAAGAGAGAGAGACGGAGAAAGGAACAACATGTGTGTGTATATATATATATATATATATATATATCTATTTCAAGTGTACATAATTAACAGGAGAATACAGATTTATATACTAACCTTCTGAGTCTCCTGAGTCTATGAGAATGTGGCTCTATCTTATGACTAATAAAGGATGTATGATATCTATCTTGAGGTGGATGCTACACGTCAACACTGCGTCCTTCATCGAGCCGTAAGCGAGCTTTCCGTCGTGAATGCGCGACAACAAGTTTTTTATAAAACGCCTCGGCGCTGATCCCCATCGAGATTGGGTCTCTTCCTAACTGGGCGGCGCCTGCGGTCGGTCGACATTGGTATTCGAAAGATTGTATGAAATTGGCACTCGAAAGATGCGATCCAAAAAGCTATTTTTGTTGTGCGCGAGGTCGATTTTATCGCGAATAATCACGCGCCAAAACTCGTTGTTTTGGGGAGCCTTAACAGATGGGTCATTCAGATTTTTATTCCAAGTCATTGAACGGTAGGGTTTACAACATAGAATTCGCAGTAATCCCACCGACAATCTTAATGCAGATACTTCTTGTGAGGGACAGAGGGAGTTATAAATTACAAGCAAAAAAATATATAAGTAATCAAACAAATAAGTAAAAATATAATCAATTTAATTTTATATATATTTTGATTTAATTGCTTTCGTGTTTGAAATCTGGAAGTTTTATATCGAAGTATAAAAGTCTGTACATTTTTTTTTTTTTTTTTTTCTTTTGCTCAATTCAATCATTTAAAAAGCATCTTGATCTTAAAATAAAATTTACAGCATGTAGACATGAATAGTGATTTCCAAAATAAAAGTGAAAATAAAATCAACAACTCCTTGCATTCTAATATCAAATAAATCCTTGCACCAAGTAAAACAATTCTCAAGGTGTCAAATAGGCAATAAACAAAAATCACATTTAATAACCAGGTTAAAATAAATAAATAAATAAATAAACAAGAAAATTTTATCCAAATTTGAGAAACAATAGTTCTCCTTGATCCATGACAAGACCCCACCCCACCCCCACTCCCTAACCTAGCTATCTAGGCAGGTGTGAACGGGACCCCGGAAGGGAGGGGGGATTAGGGTTTGGAGGTCAAGTCTCCCGCCCTTCATTGCAGACATGCCGACCGGACTCCCCTGTGCCTGTGCCCAAGGGCAGCGATGGCATTGTGGTTGATATTGATGTTTATGTTGACACCCGTTTTTCTGTTGGTGTTGCTGCTGCGTTGTGCGAGTTGTCTGCCTGCCCACTGTTGGTGTGCTGGGGACTAGCGCTACCCTTTCCTCGTCCTCGTCCTGCTGCTGCTCTTCCATCCCTCTCCGCCCTTCCCCACATCCTGTTTCCTTGCCTTGCGTTTCGTCTTGCCATCACTCGTGATTGCCCGGAGCCCTTTAGTTCCGTTTTATTTTGTGGACGCGAGGACGGAGAGCGGCTATTGACGAGAGGAGGAGCAGGGCGGAATCGGGTCCGGGCGCTGGGGCGCTGCACCGTCTACCAGGATGAGTAGCGGTAGGGGCGGCGGCGGAAATGCCGTCGAGATCCCGGCCAGCACGAAGAAAGTTGTGCAGGATCTCAAGGAAGTGGTCGGCTACAGCGAGGAGGAGATCTATGCCATGCTCAAAGAGTGCAACATGGACCCGAACGAGACCGCGCAACGGCTGCTCAACCAAGGTACGCTCCCCCCCTCCCCTTCACTTTGCTCGCACTTCATCCAAAGGACCTAATCTTTTCTTGTGTCGCGGATAGAACCTAATGACACGCATCAATGCCCAGTCGTGAGGAAGTTTTAGGGCAGGGGGTTGGGGGATGGAGGCTGTGATCTCTCTTTAGGGCATGACCTGGTCGTTACTAGCACGGTTGGTCCTGAATTTTGGGACTCGTGCCGTCTCAAATGGAGAGCTTGTACCGGAGGAAGAGTATTCCCTTATATCTAAGAAATCGGGTGAATGCTTGATACAATGACGCGGTGCAGAAGTTTTGATGTAATTGTGTGAGAGCGTCCGGGCGTCGCTATGTTTCTGATCCCGTGCTGGGTGATTGAAACTCCTTCATCTAGGGAAGTGTCCGATTTGGTGGTGCGGTTGAGTCACTAGGTTTGGTTCATCTAGGGTGGCTGATTGTGCATGAGTGTGCAGAAGTATTGCACTAATTTCGTGGATTGGAGTGCTCCGAAGGTGTAGCAAATGTCTCAGGTGTTTAGGGGTTTAGGACGTTGGATTCTTTAGTGCGGCGTGGGCGGCTTAATTGGATGCAGTTGTGACGGATTTGAATTTATTGCTTATTTGAGGTTTTGTGGTTGTCGTCGTAGTGTCCAGTGCCCCGCAAAGTCCCATCGTGAACTAAAGCAGCTGAGGTTTTGACGAGGGGCGGTGGGTTTATTGGTGGTGTGGTTGATGTGTTGGCATTTTTCTGGGTTTATTTTGCAGGAGGTATTGGAGCTGCACCTTTCCCGGTGCACTGCTGCCGTGTAGTATCTGGGCCCTTGTCATGAAAATTTGACGTTACTGCGTTAGTACTGTTGTGGTTGTGCCAATGCGGTAGGGCGGGGCAGGTGGGGATGATGGGAGTAGGCTGCGACGCTAATAATGTGTTTGATGATGCAGATCCGTTTCACGAGGTGAAGAGGAAGCGGGACAAAAAGAAAGAGGTCAGGAATGGTGGATATTAGGAACTGAGTAATGACATCATGGTTCCGGAGTCAGAATGTTCGAGTGAGTTGAGAGAGCAGCAAGACCTTGACAATGTGTCTGATATCTGAGTGCATTATGCTACTGCAGAGTGGAGGAGCCAAGGAGAGCCAGGATATGAGAGGGCGGCTTGGGAGCGGAGGTTATCCCAGAGGAGGTGGACGTAGCGGTGGTGGAAGAGGGGGATCCCTGCCTCGTTATGGTTCACAAGGCTCACAAGGTGAACATTGGTGTTCTTTGCCCGTCGCGTTCTTATATATCAAAGCCTTTGCAGTAGAATGCGTCATATGTGGGGTATAGCGATACTGATCTTCTGGACATCATTAGTATTAGCCGTAGACTTGGTCGTCTGTACAGTCCGAGCACCTTCCTATGTGTTCGAGGCACCCGTGACGATGAGACTATCAAGACTCTAGTGCATACGAAAATATGGCCCTGGTGTTGGTGCGAGAAAGCTGCTTGTCATGGGAGATGGGAGCGGGCTTGTTGAATACGGACATTGGTAAGATGGCGTTGTTGAAAGTGGCAAGACGGGTTTTGAGAGGAGTGTTGTGATTTGTTCTCTGTGTTGTATTGCTTAGAGCATGGCGGTGGGCGGGGTCGACCGTATGGGAGGGAGAACGGTATTCATCCTGGTTCACGCAGTTCGAGCACAGTTTCAAACTCGAGTCCTGCATTTGGTCAAACTAGGCCGTCGGGCACCGCGTTGAGGTAAGCGACAGACATGGGCCATTAAGAACTGTTGGGGATGTGTGACGACAGTGGGAGCGCTAAGTGTCACATTCTATGCAGGGGCTGTTCTTGGCATGGGTTCTTAGATGGTTCTAGTGGAATCAGAAGCATTTGACACGCTATCGTACGGTGATGTTTGGTTACTCTTGTTTGACATGCGAGGTGTGACTTTCGTGTGGATTTGGAGCGGAGCGTAGTAAGTTGGTTGGAAAGTAGATTTTAGAGGCGGTAGTCTTGGAGGGTACTTTGTTAGTGGGATTCACTGTGGTGATTATGAGTTGCAGCTCCACACCGTCCTCAACAGCTGCCCAACCTCCAGCAGTCTCAGTTCCAACATCGACTGCGAGTTCAGGGAGCTCCGGAGGATCAGCAGCCAATGGGAGCAGTGGGTATGTGAAGCCCGCACCAGGCCCACAAGGGGCTTGGGCGTCAGGGCACGGTACAATGGCAGACCTATTAAAAGCAAGAGCAGCTCCTCCTTCCTCTACTCCGAGTTCTCAATCCCCATCTACTTCTCCATCCATCCCAGCGGCCGTCGCTCCGTCATACCCAGCGGCAGCTGCCCCTGCATCATCATCAGAAGCTTCAGAGTTTTATTCGTCGAGCACGGACCCAGTGCTGGACTCATTTGTGGATTCGGTACCTGCCGGTTCTCAAAATGTAATCGGAGCGGTGGGCAATCAGAGGCTGATTGGAGACCGGTTTGTAAGTTTAACACCCGCAGAGTTGAGCTTGGATTCAAGCGCAGCGTCCTCTTCCACACAGACAAGTGCCGTTCCGGCAGCTGTAGGATCAGGTGAGACGGAAGTGGAGGAGGTGGAAGCTAGGGCAGCTTCTCCCGCTGCTGCGTCGACGCCAGCCTCCTCGAGTCAAGACACGAGCCCGGAGAAAGCTGACGTGAGCGTGGAAGTTGGCAATTCGCAAACGCACGGGTCCAAGAGCGTGCTGGGTGGGAGTCAGTTCGATGGACGGCCTTTGTATGGATCCCCGCAGCAGCCCGTCGGCACTCAGAAAGGTTCGGATGCGATTTAGGGCGTGGATTGGATGGATGTGTGCATGGGTGACCAGGGAAGTGGGGTTTGGATTTGGGGTGCAGGGATGTCGATTGCATTGAATCAATGAACTGATGAGCTTGACTTGGGGGTTTGCAGCTGTGGGCGGTGGCGCTTTCGAGTGGAAAGCGAAAGCTTCAGGTCATGGTTCCCTAGGAGCCTCATCGGACGGTGGTTCTCAGGGTCTCGATGCGGTGAACCCGACGAGCATAGCACAAGCTTACCAGTCTCTGAGCATACAGGATGACGAGCCGGTGATAATACCGACGCACCTTCGAGTGCCGGAAGCAGACCGTTCGCATCTGAGCTTCGGTAGCTTTGGAGCGGATTTTGGAACGGGTCATGGGACGAGCTTTGGGTTTGCGGAAGCGCAAGAAAACAAGAAGCACGCGGAGACGATTGCCGTGGAGGAGAATTCCATGGAGATGGCGCCTCCTTCGAGGTGAGTCTACTGGGTTGCGGTTCAAACGGTGTTTTCCTAGCGTTGAGCGTGACTTGCAGGGGTATGGGATGGATGAGAGCGCGTCCAGTTTTTGGCTCGCCGCATGCCAGCCGATAGATATTAATAAATGAATGGTAGTGATGTGAGAGCATTGTGTGGAGTGCATGCGAGCTGACAATTGAACACCGGCGAATTTCAGCGTGGAGACTCAAGTGGAGATCGTGCAGTCGTATGGGCTACAACAAGTAGCGACTCCGGTAGAGAATCTAAGCGCGAGCGTGGAGGCTCCATCTGTGATGCACCCAGCTCCTGTGATTCCAGCCCAGGAGCAACCCACAAAACCGGATCCAGTGGTGCAGCAGACTCCTTATTTCTTGGGAGTATCGAACTACTCTGGGTTTGGGTTGATGCCACAGATGCCTGCTGGTCAGTACGCGTACGAGCAAACGGAGTCGTTACCTCAAGATGTTTCCCGGATTCCAAGCATGATGGTACGTGTAGAACGTGTGTAGAGCAACGCATGGGGTGAAATGACTGTTTTCTGCGAGTCTACTCTACGGAGGCCTCGCATGCGTGTGATTGCATGTGTCCGTTGTTTTTGACGTGTGTTGACTATGTTGATGAAAGAGTGACCCTTTGGTTTGTACCCGATAATTTCTTTCCTGCGCTGTGTGAATAGCTGGTCTGGGTTCCGTTAATACGATCCATCCCCTAATCACTTCTTTTGATGATGTCGCTGGGAGAATGTGCAGCCGACGTACGACCCGACGACGAGTTACTACACTTCAGCTTTCCGCGGGGCAGATGCCGATCGGTTGTACCCCCCATATGTTCCAACAAACACAGCGAGCAAGTATTCTGGGAATGTTGGCCTTGTGGCAGCTCCATCGCTTTTATCATCTCAGGAGGTGGGACTTAGGTTTTGGAACGGGAACGGTGTGGTTATGATGATGCTGAGGGGTAGTTGTTGTGCGAGGAATGTCCGATGCTTATGTGATTGTGACACTTGTATGGTTGTGCAGGGAGGCAATCCTATGCTAGCTTCCGCAGCTCCCAGCGTGAGTGCTGCGCAGACTTCGCAACCGGGAAGCAACGTGCAGACTACACAAGTGATGCCACAGCAGGCTTTGCCGATGCATTACTCGCAGCCACCTTCTGTACACTTTGGGAGCTACATGAGTTATCAGTACATGCCGGCCAATTATCCTTATTTACAGCCTCCATATCCGCACCACATTTACAACTCGAACAGCACCTCATACGCCCAGCCTCCGGCAGGTTCCACGTACACTCCTCCAGCTGCAACTTCTTATCCAGCGGGTGGAGCGGCGGGCGTTAAGTTTCCGATGCCCCAGTACAAACCTGGAGCAGCAGCTGGAAGTGGTCCTAATTCTGCGCTGGGCATGGGGTACGGTGGGTACACGACGACGCCTTCAGGATATGCGTCTAGTCCTGCGGTGACAGCCGGGAATGCTTCTGGTTACGAGGATGTGAATACATCGCACTACAAGGATAGTACTTTGTACATTCCGAGCCAGCAGGTAAGGACTATGTGTCCCAAGGATTATGGGAGTTAGAAGAGCGAGCGTGGGATGCCACCCAAAAGATTTTGTGACCAAGTTGTCTCAAACAATTGCATTTTAGTGCTACGTGCAGATTTGAGGGTGCGTCGATATTCGGTTGCCGTAAGTGTGTTCGATATCCTTGAGTACTCTAGACGTTGTGGTGCAGTTGGTAAGGTAGTGCGGTACAACAAAGCTTACAGTGTTGATGCTGTTGGTTTCCAGCAGGGAGATAGTTCCACAGTGTGGATCCAGGCTGCGATGCCTCGGGAGATGGGTCCCACAGGGACCATGCAGACGAGCTCATACTACAACTTAGCCGGACAGGGTCAGCACAGCGGATACGCGCATTCTCAGCAACCGGCGCATGGGCATGCGCACCCAAATGCGGCTTATGCCAACTTGTACCATCCGTCACAGACCGGGCTAGCACCGAGCCATCAGATCCTTCAACAGCCCCAAAACATGGGAGGTGGAGGCGGGAACAGCCAAGCAGGCGGCTACCAGCAGCAACCCCAACGCACACAACAGACGTGGAATAACTCAAACTATTAGTAGGATGGGGTGAATGTGGGAAACAGACTTAAGCGGTGTAATTTCAGTACGTTCAATATTTCAGAGAGTGCTGACCGAATTGACTTACATTGATGTCCATGCCACGTTGAGGTGGTGGCTATTCCACAGCAGCTGGGGTCCTTGTTGACTAGGCAGATCAGGGGAGGCCTCCAGGAGAAAGCCTGAGAAGAGTGTAAATACAAGTTTGACGAAGTCGGGAGTGTGAGCATAGCGAATTTGTTGAGCTTTTCGTGCTCATGCACCTGGATCATTCTAGTGTGTCACGTGCTAGTAGATAGAGATGGTGCGCAAGCTCCTTTTAAATTTATATCTTCACACGCACATGTTCTAGTTCGATCAGTCGTTTTGGCAGCTTTTGGAATGCCTCTGTTTCATAATTAAATTTCTAAGTGTTTTTCCTTGGCCCCTTTCACCTGGACTACAAGCTGGATCAATTCCAATTTTTTTGAACATCTCTTGTCGAGGATGACCCCGTTGTATCCCATGTTCACCACACCCGAACTTTCAGGTTCAAGGTGGTAGCCAGACTGAGCATCGACTACCATTTTCAATTAGTTGACTTCACCTTACGTGGTTTTTTTCATTGTCATATTTTACAGGTGCGCCTTTGCAACAGTTGTTTACATTATAGTGGGTGGCAAAGAAAGAGGAGGAAGGAAAGGAATTTTTATTAGTGACGACACTTGGCCAAGTACAGTGCTGGATGGGTCACTTGAAGAAAACGAGTGAAAGGATTCCCAGCGCATGTGGAGCAAGGGCCTACCATCATTTACAACCCTTTGGCAAATTGCTTGGCAAAATCTACAAAGAGAAGTGTTTATTCTTATCTCCACTGACACTGACTTGGATGTGTGTTGCAATGCAACTTGTATTATGACATGCTGCCAAAAACCTCATGGTTTCGTCACATGCCACAAACAACAAAATGAGATATTTATTATTGTTGGTCTAGAATGGTGTTTTATAAGATGGGCTACAACTAGGATGCGTTGTTGAACTTGATCATTTCCTTGGTATATTCAACCATGACTAAAAATAAATAAAAAGTATTGAAAAGGTCACATAATAGTGGTTTTCCTACCTTCAGAAAATATATCAATGAGACTAAGAGGATCTTTAGAAGAAGGAAATTCTATCAGGAATTGTAAACAGAGGAAAGAAAGAAATCCTTGGCTTCCTTACACCAGTTTTATTTGCGAAGCATTAATTTTTGTTACATATTAAGTGTCAAAAATATCATGACTTAAAAGAGAGTTAAAAGAATTCTTGAACAATATTTGATGGATTTTAATTATAAAAAAACGTACAAATAGATGGGCTAATGACTTATCATAGTTACAAGTTTGAACTTACTGCCAAAAGCAACAATCATCATCCCATTGCCTTACTAACCACATACAAATACACAACATAAATATATCAACTGATACATTCAATGCCTAAATTTTAAACATAACATAAAGCACTTCTTTTCTTGTTTCTCTTTCTACAAGTTTCAGTTGTGTACACGTTTTTTAAATATCAATCAGCAATACATACAAAAATAAACTAAAACAAAACAACAAAACAAAGCAAACAATCTTACTTTTCTACAAATTCCATGTAATAAAATTTTCAACTGTGATTTATAATTTCTTCTAATTGTTTGTATATCTACATTGTTGTATATTGTTATTTGCAACTGAACATGGATGTAGAGGTTGCAAAGCAAAACATGCATGAAATACTGGTACTAAAAAAATGCACACATGCATTTTAATGTACCAGTTAATTTGAATTCAATTGCACATGCACACACACACCAGTGCATAGAAAAAACAAAAAAACAAATAAAAAAAAAATTAACAAATTAAAATCTGTAAATCCTTGAAACCTTGAATGCCCCTTTTTTACAGATTCTATATACATATATATATATATGTAATTGTATATTCATCCATGAAATGAAATCATTCATCCATCCAACAATGCCACGCATGCAAGATTGACAGCCAAACATACAAAATTGAACAAATGTCTTTTCAAAACAAACAAATAAATCCATATCCTTCAAACAAGTTACAAACAGTTGAGCACGTTTTTTTAGTTGTTAAGTTTTTGTAGTTTTTAGATATTGAGCCACTAGTGTGAATTTAAATGTAGTAAAAAATGATATGTTATTAAGATTCATAGACATGTTTTGTAACTTTATTTACTTATTTATTCATTTATTAATTGGTTGATTGATTTATTTATTTTTCTCCCTGTGACTTTTGCTATGCTTATTATATTTAATATATCAATGTCGAAAAATCTCCTCACTTAACTATTCTTAAATTCTAGAAAAAAAAATTTTAAAAAAAAGAAAATCCACAAGGGACAATGGCTAATTTTGTAATATTAACGAAGATGTAAATTAGGGGGTTATTTAATTGAATTTAATTAATTTAATTAATTTATTTTTTAAATCCTGGACGTGTAAAGTAAAACTCCTTAAAAATTAATTTGCAACTAAGTTTGTCTTTTGTTGTATTTTAACACAATAATATTTATAGTATTTTTGTAATATATATATATATATATATATATATATATATAATATTCACAATAAAAAAATGGATGTAATCCACAAGCTCAAATTACAAATACTAACAAAATATTTTTTGACATGTTTGTGAAAAAGAAATCTCTTTTTAATTCTCATATCAATTGAAACCTATGGGTTTATTTAAAAGTAAACTTAATGAATATTTTAATTCATAATCATCACCTTCAATTTCTTGTTCACATTCACTCATCACATCAATCATTCCTATTATTGAATACATTGTATCACATATTATATACAAATAAAGAATATATTTTTAAAAAATAAATTATTAAACCTATTGTAGAACAACAAAACATCAACAATACTTTAACAAAAAAGAGAAAAGAAAAGAAAAGAAAAATAAGGATCATTGAATGAAGAGACCATGCAAAAGGTCCCCCTAAGTTTGCCCACATGGATGAATGAATACCGTGCGTCGATGAATATTGTTGGATGAAAGCGAAGCTTGAAGCCAGGCTGAGCTCACCACTTCCTGTGCTCGAGGCTTATCTTTTTTCCTTTTCTCTTTTTACTTTCCCGTCAGCCTTTTTGAGTTTTGCTTTTTCGTTTTCGTTAACGTTTTCGTCATTTGCTTTATGGCGTCCTTTTTTTTTCCTGCGCTCCGTCACCACCACCACCATCATCATACCTCCACACAATTTTCCCACGTGCGAAATATAAATCGTGAGCTCTGCCGGGGGTGGCCCCTTCTTCAATGCCCCACCCGGCTCGCATTCATTTCACGGCAGTTGCTGCTTCTAGAGCGGGTGGTGGGAACGAGCCACCTGCAAACCCCCTCCTCACCTTTCAAAACCCCCCCCCACATTAAATGTAAGTGGTTCCCATTAATCTCAACACTTTAAAGTAAAGTAACTCAAATACATTTTTTCAAAGGAAGCCGTGATTTTCCACAACATTTCACGTACCAAACCATTATTATGTATAATTATAATGTTTATTTCAAAACATTGGTTGTATTTGAATTACTGGAGGGGGTAACATATTGCCGCTTAAACTTAATGACCCATGTGATCCTTTCTTTGTTACTTTTTCAACTGACAATGTGGAAGATTTCATAGGATTGTATATTTTTCTTTAAGTTTCTTTCTTTCTTTCTCCTTATATTAATGCTTTTTTAAAAATGGGTTATCGTGCTTGCTTACGTCTAATTGGAATCTTAATATGGTTTAGTTTGATCCTTCGTATTATAAGCGGTTGCATTAAGGCGATTACCTCACTTTCATCGTATTTTGTTTTTCCCTTCGTTTTATTTAATTTTATATTTGTTGTTTATTTGTTCTTACTTTGGCTTCACAGCCTGGTGACACTAGTGCAGCTGCAGAGGATGTGGGTGACTTGTTCGGAGTTATACCTTTGGCTGATGGTAACCTAAATTAAACAGACAACAGTGATTTAAAATTATGATATTTACAATTTTCTTAAAAAATGGTGGCAATGCAGAGTATATATTAACAAATCATGCGTGTGAATAGGGTTACATGTATGTATGCAGAGTGGGTTGGATTATATTTAATAACGATGACACTTTGATTATGTGGTAGTAGTAGTACACCCAAGCAAGTAAATCCCAATAACACACACAATGCACAATAGACGGTTTTCCACAACAAATGTGATGGGCGAAGAAGCTTAATCAAAGCCACCGTTGAATGGGCTCTAGATATATACAAATACAGGGAGCTTGTTAATGGTGGGCAGACTGCCCGCGAGAGAAAAAATGAATAGCGGGCAGCCCAACTTTAGGAAGACAGACAGACAGACCCGAAAAACCGCAGTACCACTGCCCGTCCTAAAAGTTTTTTTCCGAGGGTGCCCCGGAACGCGCGGTTAGGTGCAAAGGAATGGCGAGGGCGGCATCGCATCGCAGCACGCGAGGTTTGTTTATTTGTTTGTTTCTAAAGCCGGCGCCCCCACGCTCACGCCGCTGGTGGGTGGGTGAGTGAGTGAGTTTCGAAATAAGCAGATTTCAGCATTACCAGCTGCAATTTACGAATGCGTAACGATAAACACCATGGAAACTCGAAGGATGCAGAATTAGGTCTTCGAAGTTATGCGACTTGACGTGAGTGTGAGTGATTGTTTTATGGCAGCTAGCGAGAGGCAAGTTCCAGAGAATGCGGAAGGGATTTCCAGAATCTCCGGGTGCTGCATATCGCAAGTATCCCTGGGTCCTGGAGGGAGTCAGTGAGCGAGCGAGAGAGAGAGGTCTTTCAGTGCTGGGAGGGAATTTACTGGTGATCGCGTGGCTTTGAAACGAATGGAATTCCTCTTCTGGTGTACCGGATCGTTACTGGTGAAGGAGCGGAATTTGTGCCGTGACGGGGGAGGGGGGGTTGGTAATCGAGGGGTGTGTGTGTGGACGGGGGTAGATGCTTGGCATCTGAGGCGCATCAGGGTAGACGTCACACCGAAATGTGTCGGAATCTGTGCCGGATTGCAGCTCGAGGGGTGTGTTGCAACGTTGTACTTGGCTATCATAGGGATCCTCATTAGCAGGACGCAGTTATTGCGTAGGTAGTGGGTTGGCGGGCCCGTCCCACTAGGGCTCTCGCCAATGGGCTATTCTAGCGATATAATTCTGGTGAGGAATTCAGGATGGCAATGTCGGGATTTTGTGCAGCTTCGTGAAGGTAACGCTTGTGAGCCCCTGCCACCAGTGAGCGGCGCTTGTGATGGCTTTTGCCCTCGTGCCCTTGCGCGGGAAATGTGTCATGGTAGCTCCCTCCCACCCACTGGGCTGCCTGGAACACTGTACTCGAGATGAGTAAGTGGGTGAGGGTGAGAGATTACTGGCATTTTTCTGTCCTTGGATAGATAGTTTA